GCCCTTAATCCCCAAAAATAGAGAAAGAATATTACAAAGGTCACGAACATGAGTTGTCCAAGTAAAGTGTCAAGCGAACCACTTGTGTTGTGCTAAAGTGTGAAGGCAAACAACTATTTCAAGACTTACCTAGCTCTGCAATGTTTCAGCAAAAACATTGGTGAACTGTTGCGGGAAGCTTGAATTATATAATTAATTATAACCACAAAAGAGACAATATATGAACTGAGAACTCAGAGGAAGTGAACAGAGCTAAAGGATGAGGTTGTGTTAGCTATATATAAAAAGAGACAAGGAGAAAATGTATAACGAGCATTACTTCAAGAGAAGGTGATGCCATGTTTAAAAAGATGGCTTTAGAATATTTAAAAGCAAACCAAGGTAGCACGTATAACAACACGCGTCTATCTCTCTACCAGCCCAATTTCAAGGAAGATTTTCACCAAATAAAAAATAAAAAATTCAAGGATTTCTTTTTGCATTTTGAACATCCAATACTCGGAAAACACAAGTATATATTATTTTTAAAGGGGCCATTAATTTAATACAAATTTATAAATAAACCCAATCCTAGACATGTATTTATAAAAAAACCCAAACACTATTTAAACATAGAAACACATCCAAAATTAACCCCAAAGTCAACCTTTTGGGTGTGTTTATAAATGGGTTTTGAGTGTGTGTAATGATGGGTTTTGGGTGTGTTTATATGTTTAAATAGTGCTTGGGTTTTTTTATAATTTCAACCTCCATTTTGGGTGTTTTAATGAAACTCCCTTAATTTAAATACAAATTTATAAATAAATCCAATCCTAAACATGTATTTATAAAAAAACTCAAACACTATTTAAACATAGAAACACACCCAAAATCAACCCCAAAGAAACATACTTTGCGGTTTGCGGTAACCGAAAGTTTTGAAAATCAAATAGCGCAACCGTAACCGCAAATGCAGTTCAATTCTTAATACCGCAAATGCGGTTCGGTTTACCATGATTGCGGTTTCATTGCGGTAAATTGTCGGTTGGTTTTTGCGGTTTTTCGGTTTTTCGGTTTAAAATGCCACCCCTAGTCTTAAGGTCGACCACCTACTACGTTAATAATTAAAATCTCCTTAAGTATTTTTCATGTTATTAGACCAACATTTAAAATATTTAATCACAAGAACGTGCAACTGATACTTATTTATGTGTTTGTGCTCGGAAGCTTCACAATCATTCTGTGCTGTGCATGTGAAAGCTCTAGATTAAAATATCCATAAAAAAACCTCTATAAATTAATGGTTATGCTAAGCCAAAATTAGGGCATTAATTCCATCTCTAGCAGTAACAAACTTTGATTAGATCACTATACCTTTGTAAGGCATATTTCACTAATCCAAACAGTCCATTTTGTAGATATTCATTCAAAAATCATGCCTACCAAAAATCACTTGAATCCGATATCAGTTGACCATATAATTAAATTATTGAAATTTTAGTACTTTCTTAAAGCACCGTGTTCATTGATTTTGTAGGACACAATTAAATGTCTAAACAGTTTCCAATTTATCTGGTTTTTTGCAAGGATGATCTATGAATGGAGACCTAAAAGATAGATGGTTTGGATCGTTGAAAAAAAAATCGTACCATAAAGAGAGTCCCTATATATATATATAATTTCACTATGAGTATCAAAATAGAAAAGTTGATAGATATCCAAATTTTCATTGAGAAGTTGGGTTTAATCCTCATGGTGACTTTGATATAAGTCCTTTAACTTTACTGCCACATAGGATTACATTCCTTTTTGAATATTTTATGATGTAATATTTTTATTTTTATTTTTTTAAAATCATTTCTTGTTCCAATGTTGCCCTTATGCTTTGAATCGGGTAATAGTAATTTATATGATAATAATTAGCCATTCATAATGTTTATCTAATAGTAATTTAATGATAATAATTAGCCATTTATAACGTTTGTCATTGAATGGAAAAGGAAAAAAATCGCAAACATATCCCAAGAATCACGTTGTTACTATTATACATTGTCGACCAAAGCATTTGATTGTGGAACTTTTAGTATCTCTATATGCATAAGGAAACATACATCACACGCAAGAGCATATCAAAGAGAGGTAGTGATGGATGATGACATTCATTTGCTAAATTTATAATGTAAGACACAAAAGGGATCAACTTGAGAGAGAGACTTGATCTACTTGCAGCTAGAAGGATAAAAAATGATCCAAAACGGCATTTTCCTCTAAAACAAATACCTACGCATTTCTATGGTTTCCAATTGAAGCATGCAAGGAAAAACTAGATTAGTTTGCAAACAGAAATCCTTTACTACTTCAACATGCAAGGAAAAACCAGATCATTTGAATCAATGCAAGGAAAAACCAGATCAGTTTGCAAACACATTGTTTACCATATCCGACCCTCTACTCACATCATGACACGTGGAAAGAGGACAAGGCTAAGGTCAACCCTATGGCTCATGTCGGTAGATCAATTAGGTATGAATCGATGTCCACGACCTATTCACTCATCAAGTTCATTAATTGGCAAGCTCTTCTGAATGCCCTCTTGAACATACTATCGGTACCAGCTACTGAACAACCCTCTAGCATGCGTTCAACATCCTCGCCGATCCTGCAGGACAACCTCGAACCTCCCGCCAAGACATGTTGGGACTCGTGTCGACCACTGAAGACATTCCCACAAGTCCCACATTGAAACTAAGTGCCAAGTGAACACCCAATACCCTCAATAAATAAGGCCTCATGCCCCAAACACAAGGTAAAACTTTTTACTTGACTTGTGCTCCCACATTGTCAATAGCTTGCTCTTAGTAACTAACTTTGGCATCGGAAGGTCTTCAGCCGACACCACACCGGCGCTCTAGACCTCACCTGCCGTTTCTTTCCTTAGCCTAGATCCAGCATCGCACCCCGAGGAAGGGCGCTCATACTGAAGACCCCTCTGGTCAAAACTAACCACGTCACCTGTAAGTTAGCCTTATTTCTATATGTCTAGTTTTAGTGCGAACAGATTGGTGCCGTATGTGGAAATCTTTGATCATCGATAGACTCATATCTCTCTTGAGCCAAGATAAATCCACCTTCATCCTTCGCTGCCGATGGTGCCACCATCATTAGCCTCATATGCGAAGCGAGCCTCGCTCCCCTACCGAGCACCCCACGAATGGAAATGCCCGTTCGACAGAACACTCTGGAGGCTCGAATGGAAACCCTATAACAGGAAATGGTGAAGATGCAAGAACACAACAATATCCTCTCTTCCAAACTCGATGACACTCAGAGGTACCTCTACGACCAGCAATCACATTCGGCCTAATTACAGGATGATCTAGTGCAAACCAGGAGCAGCCATTTGGAAGTGTACTAAACCTTCCGCCTCCCGACGACTATTTGTGCCATGCCCAGAGGATCTCCATCAAGAATATTGAGTCTACTCCGACTGCCGAGACAAGCTCAACGATCGATGCAAGAAATGTCAACCATCACCAATCCAGGTTCAGGCCAGACTCGACAATCGGCGTCTGAACGTGCTCGGACCGAAGTCCCCTCTCCGCCGAGGATACGACACAATCGGCCTGGAGGAAACAGACGAATCAAACTACATCCTTACCTCTCCCTAAACCACAATTTCTTACCGATTAGCAGGACCCAGACAATCTCGCCATCACAACAAACAAACAACAACGAAAGATGATCTGCAGAGTCACCTTGTGCGGACCTTTGGCTTAATAGCAGGTCGTCAACCAACTGCCCGCTAGACAGCGAAAGCCTCCTGTAGCAATCTACCCCATGCTGATTCCACTATATGCCTTCTCTTCCAGAAGATCAACCGAATCGAGGAAGAACAGAACTAATCTCGGATGCCAACTTGAGGTAAGATCCAGCTAGGACCATACACTGACCAGATCCGAACCTTCAAACACGAGAAAGATGTCTAACAACTCCAAATATCATTTTACACAGGAGTAGAAGATCCCATCACCCATATCCATACCTTTCAATCCGCATTCGGATGCAAAGGACTTACCAATGAAGACCAGTGCCTGTTGTTTCCCTCCACTTTGGATGAAGCTGCCTTAAACTAGTTTTATCGATTGGAGCCAGGTATGGTTGACTCTTTCGATTAGTTAAAACAAATTTTTCTCAACCATTTTATGATACAGACTAATCGATTATACTTTACCGATGACCTCTACACCATCTGGCAAAGAGACGACGAGCCCTTGAGGGAGCAACGAGTACTCTCGGTGTCCAGAAACTAATGACAGAACGGCATTCAACGCTTTCAAAAGCAGCCTCTGATTGTCTCAATTTCGCTACTTGATCCACCGTAACAACTAGACAACCTATAACGAACTAATGAAACAGGCAGCAATCCATGCTAAAGCCGAGCATTTTAATTCCAAAAGGGGACCTTCAGCACCCTCCTGCCCATCGGTACCTTCATATTGGCCTAAGGATCCATCATACGATCGCTTCCCATATGCCCGAACAACACACCCACTCCTTTATCGAACGGTACCCTACGTGTTCGCTCCTTACATAGGAGGCAAGATGAGAGACAGTTTTTAAGGTCTGCAAGATGGGATCAAGTGTAGCAAGGACACCGAAGGCCGAATCAACTTCTAAAGTACAAAGAAGGATCTGCAGGCTGAGGTGTTCACCCTACTCAACACCATCTATGAGTACGTTCTCGTAAACGAAAACCATATGATACTGAAGCCGAACAGTAGGAGACTCCCCTTTCAAGCAACAAAGGCACCAAAGTATTCTACTGATACCACTAATACAATGGCGACGATACGGAATCGTGCATCCGCCGCAAAATCGTCAAACGCCTTATCAATAAAGGCAAGCTAGATCAGTATCTAAGTATGCGACAAGCCCCTGAGCAGCCAATAAATTGACAGATCAACATGACAAGCGGCGGAGCACTGATTGCCAATATTAGCAACCGATAAATCAAGAACTACATGTGTGCCGTTCGGCCTCCTCAAATCTTGAGCATCACTAAAGGTCACAATAGCAAGATCCGGCGAATCAGATGGGAACCCATCACCTTTTTCGAAGAAGAGGAAAAAGGCATTATCTTCCCCCACTCTGATCTCATGATCATAAAAGCTGACATTGCCAATTTGGACGTAGGCCGAATCCTCATCGACATCAGCAGTTCAGTTAACGTGCTATTTGCCAATGCATTCAACGGCCTTGAAATCAAGCACCAGTGCCTCAACCAGGACATTACCCCTCTTTTGAGCTTCTCAGGTGATGTTGAACCGATCGGAAACATCCAGCTCTCCATCGCCATTAACGCCACCTCCAGAAGATCAATTGTCTACACTCACGTCCTGGTAGTCGATTGTCCGACAGCTTACAACTCCATCATCGGCAGGCCAGCACTGACCCAAATGAAGGCCATACTGTCGCAACACATGTTCCTCATGAAATTCCCGATGCACTCTGGCGTTGGCCAAATGCGAGGGGATCAATTAAGTGTATGGACGTGTTATGTATTGGTGACCAAAGACACAAGTCATATGCAGTCTCAACCGTCGTGACCATACCGAACGGCAAGGGATGGACCGATCTACCTGACGATCCTCGAGACGAAGCTGTCACTCCCCAAGCCCAGGCAGTCGAAGACCTAGAAACGGTATCTCTCTCCGACACACTACCCGACCAGCAGGTCAGGACCGGCACAATCCTCAGTCTACCATTGCGAGCCGAATTCATCACCTTTCTTAGGGCCAATTCGGAGGTGCTTCCCTAGTCCTACAAAGACATGTCTGGCATCTCCCCAGATGTCATCTGCATAAACTCAGCATCTGCCCCTCTTTTAAGCTGATCCGTTAGAAATGGCGAGCCTATGACGCCGAACAGTATGAAGCAATGAAGCTTGAAATAGATATATTATGGACAATCGGCTTCATCCGAAAGGTAGTATACCTGATCTGGCTTGCAAATTCGGTCATTGTAAAGAAAGTTAGTAGGGCCTGGCGAATGTGTCAAGATTATACCAATCTAAACAAGGCATGCCCGAAGGACAGTTTCCTGCTACCTAGAATTAACCAATTGGTGGACGCCACAGCAGGCAACGAACTATTGAGTTTCATGGATGTCTATTTAGGTTACAACCAGATTTTTATGCATCATGCCAATCGCGAACACACGACATTCATCACCGACAAAGGGCTCTACTGCTACAATATCATGACCTTCGGCCTGAAAAACACAGGGGTAACCTATCAACGGTTGGTCAACAAGATGTTTGCTGAACTTATCGACACCTCGATGGAAGTTTATGTAGACGACATGCTAGTCAAGAGCAAGACTGCTGATCGCCATCTTCACAATCTCTCTCTCATGTTCGGCATCCTGAAGGATTACAACATGCGTCTCAAGGCTAAGGTCAACCCTGTGGCTCACACCGATAGATCAATTAGATATGAATCATCATTCACGACCGATTCACTCGTCAAGTTCATTAATCGGCAAGCTCTCCCGAATGCCCCTTTGAACATACTATCAGTACTAGCTACCAAACAACCCTCGAGCATGTGTTCAGCATGCCTTGCCAATCCTGCAGGACAACGTCGAACCTCCCACCAAGACATGTCGGGACGCTTGTCGACCACTAAAAGCACTCCCACAAGTCCCACATTGAAACTAAGTGCCAAGTGAACACCCAATATCCTTAATAAATAAGGCTCCTTACCCCAGACACAAGCTAAGACTTTTACTTGACTTGTGCTCCCACATTGTCAATAGCTTGCTCTTAGTAACTAACTTTGGCATCAGAGGGTCTTCGACCGGCACCACACCGATGCTCTGGACCTCACCAGCTGTTTCTCTCCTTAATCCAGATCCAACATCGCGCCCTGAGGAAGGACGCCCCTACTGAAGACCTCTCAGGTCAAAACTATCCACGTCACCTGCAAGTTAGTCCTATTTCTATCTGTCTAGTTTTAGCGCGAACAATAGGTAACAATTTTTATTTTTCTTCACTCTATGGTAGAGGTATATTACATACTCTTCTAGATATATATATAGTAGAAATCCTATGGTGTAGGTATATTGTTCTATTGCCTATTGCATAGGTATATATGTGTGTTTTCATATTTTCAACAAGGTATAATAGTATTTTTTGTACATTTTTTTATAGGTAATATACAATTTTTATTTGTCTATTTTTGTATCTAACTTATAGGTAGTCTTCTAATTTATGTTCCTAACTTATATGCAATCTTTTAATTTAGGTTCCTAACTTATAGGTAACACGATTTATCACTAAGTTTTTGTTGTTGCTAATAATAACACTATTTATCTGTATGTCAGGTACATAATTTCACTTGGGTGCTTATCTGATCGATTGGTATAATATGTGGGTCTTTACTTTTCATTGATTAAATTGTATTTTATCCATATATTAGGTAAATATTATCAAGGAAAGAATTTGAAATTTAAATTAAGAAATTCAATTACAAGGAAATAATGCATTAAATTTAGATTTTAAATGTGTTTTCCTTATTTACCTCAAAGGGTAAAATCGACACAACAAAAAAAGTAATAAATGTAAAAGAATCTGCATCTAAAATGTCGTTTTGGACCTGGATCTAAAAAGCCCATATCAAAATATGTTGGGAAACAAAAGGCCTCTTCACCAACCCAATTTCCTCTAAAACTTGCGAAGGAATTTTCAAATAATTAACTTGGATTTTAAGGATATTTTTGCTACCAGTTTTATATTTTTGATACCTTCTTAATGCACGAGGAAAAAAAAAGTGAGGGGATACTTTTTCTTTTTTGAGAAGGAGAATTCATTCATAAAACCACAGACGTACAAAGAGCGACATGATACAGTGACTTCATTAAAACCTTCCTAGGACAACTTAATGGGACAAACCCCCGGGGAGAAAAGAGTACCACATATGTCATGAACTAACAAGAGAGTTCAATTCAGGTCACTTTGGACCATTACAATAAAAGATAAAGTCAAAAATGAAAACTAACACAAAGACCTCCGACGAGAAACCACAACTAGAGACTAACACAGTAAACCCACATGAGAGAACCGTAGAAACCCCAAATAGTAAACCCACAGGAGAGGACCGTAGAACATCCCAACTGTCAAAAGAAGCCTTATATGAGCAAGATCATAGTCCTTTGACACCCACACAAACTGTAAGGCATACCATAGCAAAAACTAGGAGAGAACACGGAAGATGAACACAAAAAAAAAATAGTAAAAAGACCCTTGAGAAGCACTCCACTTCAACTCAGAACCTATCAAAGAAAACCTCCTATGACCAAGCATAGTTCTTCGGTCAGCGCAAAGTAGAGAAGAGCACCACATCTTAACAACTACCACTAGCGTCGTTGTTGCCGCCACCGTTAAAATAGAGACAAAACATTAGCCACCAAGTATCACAATTTTCCTAAGGAGAGACACAATCTAGTGTCATTCCTGTCGCAGCCACCGAGACAAAGACAACACCAGTCACCCAGAACACTGCAAAAATAACCAAACCAAACAAACAAACAAACAAACAAACAGACCTAGTTCCAAATAGATCTAGACTATCTGGGGAGGGGAAGGGGATGAGAAGAGGGGATAAGAGGAAAGGAAAAGATGGAAGAAAAAGAAGGAGAGATGAGGAGAGGAAGAGGAAGATGGGCGGAGGGGAGGAGAGGCAGTGGCCACCTTCTCCCTAGCTTCCTTGCGGTTACTTGAAAGTTGACACACTCTTCATAACTTTGAAGAGGAAAATTTTTTTTTTTATAAAACAAAACAATCCAACACCAGAAAGCACCAACGTCCCCGTCCCCATCCAAACCGACAACACCCAACACCATTAGCCATCCCAATTCGCCGACGGCAGTTCCATTTCCACCTCGCTCTTCCTCAAAGTCTCTTCTCTCCCTCTGTCTATATGTTTTTCTATTTCTTGAATAAAGTGTTAAATCTGATGAGCATTGGGCCCAACAGACAGAGGCATCCATCCCTTTGTGCAAAATCTCTATTCTTTTGGGGTGGTTTTGTTTGAGATTTTTGTGTGCACAACACCTGTTATAGATCCATCACTTCACTTGCAAGGGATTGAATGATAAGCTTCGCTGAATTAGATCCAGATATGAGATTATCTTCAAGAACGAAAGAGAAAGAGAGAGGTAAGAGGAGGTGGTGTTCTCGCCATCTAGGTAGAAGCGGTGTTGTAGCCGACGACGTGAAGGTATTGCCGCCGACGAGGTCAAGAAGGTATCGCTGCCGGCAAGGTGGAGAATGTGCCATTGCCGGTGAAGTGGGTTGGCTGACGGTGTTGGGTGGATGTTGGTTTTTTTTGTTTAATTTTCAAATTTTTTATGCTTAATTTATTAAAAGCTAACGTTGTGTATTAAGAGTTAAGTTTGATTAAAAATAAAAAAAAAGCGTTAAGTGAATAGAGAGGTGTCAAAGAATTAGATAGGGGACATGGCTGGTACAAGAAAAAGAGGGACAAAAGATCTGGACTCCAACAACCCACCCATTGGATAAGAGCACTTTCACTCATTTGCCCTGACAAAGGGTAAGGGCATGGCAAGGGCTGTTACTATTCACATGAATAGTGGCAGCCCTTGCAAAAGGCTTGTGGTGTTTCCACACTTTGTCATGGCAATCTAAGGGCAACCTATTCACATGAGATATGAGGAGAGGAATTTGTATAGACTTTTGGTATGGGAAGTGAAGAATATAAATAAGTATTTATTTTAAAAAATTCTGAAATTTTTAGTATTTTTTTTTAGATTTTTTAGATTAAATTTTTTTTTTCGTTGTTGACGTCGTCGCTGGCATCAACAAACCCAAGAAACAAGCCAGTTTATTCTTGCCTTTGGCCCTCCCCAGCAAGAAACAAGCCAGTCTATTCTTGCCTTTGGGCCTGCCCAGGCTTGTGGAGCCCACTAGCTGCCCGAGCTGCATTTGCCCAGTGGAAACCACTTCTTGGGCCTAGGCCCCCCCTTGCCCAAGCTGGGGGATCCACTGGAACTGCTCCCAATCTGTCCCCTCCTACCTCTTACTCTTAAATGAGTTTACATCCTCTCGCTCCTTTTACTTTGTCTCCCCTCTATCCCCGATTCAAAATTTTGACACGTGTCCTATCATTTAAAATCAATTAACTAACTCCATTATATCCAAATAAAATAATAATAAAATAAAGGATTATCAAACGTTAGCGCCACCAAGGCGCTCTACAGCATCGTAGCTATCCTTGAGTACTCTGTTTATGGCGATGCACTTGACCTTTTACCTGTTGAGGAATACAAAAGTCCCACATTGGAAACTTAACAAAATAAATTACAACTTATAATAAGTGATTTCACTCTTAATAACATCGAGACATTTTGTATAAAACCTCACACCTACTGGCATGTGTAGATGGCTAAGTTGGGGAAAATATTGATGTTGCTAGTAGTAGGCTGAGGATCAGTCCCTCTAAAATCTTAAGATTGCCCAACCCCAATTTGGAGCAAGGGCGGCAGCAGCCGCTGCCATTATCCGATGAGGTTCAAGATTCAG